ACCCTGGAGCAGCAGGTCCCCAGCCTGCCTCAGTCCAGGGGACCTAGTGACTCAGTCCATGTGTTTGCTCCTCTAGTCCAAATATGAGTGAGTGTAGCAGGTTTTATCTGAAAACTTTTTCTTTTTCTCTGATGAACTCCTATATGTTCAGTGTGAAAACTTGAAACATATTGACAGAGAAAAAAAAAAAAAACTAAGAATCCTCTATGATTTCTCACTTCTCCAGAGACCATACCCACATTAAGCCCTACGATACATATGCAGATCCTTTTGTCCTTTTATATACTTATGTGTAAATACTTACATTCAGATATATGTGTATAGGTGGGTTTTTTTTTTAATAATACACACATACATGTATCTTTTATTTTTATTTATCTATTTTTTTTTTGGGCCCAAAGCCACTCTCATGGAAGGTTCTGGAAAAAAAATTTTTTTTGAGAGATTTTTGCCTTGGGCACATGTACTCACCAGAGAGAGAGAAAGAAACAGAGACAGTGAGGGGAAAAGTGAGAAATTACCTTCCAGGAGGGATGGCCACACTGCAATCTTTTTTCTATTCTCCTCCCAAGATCTTAGTCACACATGCACAGTGCCTGGAGTGATTTTCAAGCCACCAGGTCTGGGATTCAAACCACGTTCGGTCATGTGACAGTCCAGTGATGTAACCACTGTGGCACCTGTTGGTCCTGGTTGTGGAAATTTCAACTGTCTGGCATGGACCCTGATTGTACCAGGGTCTCTGGTCTGGGGTCCTACTGGAGGTGCAGGCAGCTAGGAAGGCGTGGCCTGAGCTTTGCCCCCTAAGGGATTTATTGGAGCAAATGCCTCCTTGACCTGGGTCCCTGAGCCTCTGCAAGGCGTCAGGACTGGCTAAGATGGTCTTTGTCTTGAATCCTAGGGAGCTGGCACAGATGAAAAGGCTCTTATTGAAATCCTGGCCACTCGGACCAATGCTGAAATCCGGGCCATCAACGAGGCCTATAAGGAGGGTGAGTATGGGAGGCCTGGGCCCAGCATGCTAGGAAGCAAAGAGAAAACAGGTCCCCCGGCTTCTGACTGCAGCCCACAGCAATGTGTAGTCTCCTTTCTCAGTCCAGGTCTGGGAGGTTTTGATAAATACATTCGGTGTGCCCAGCCCTGTGGGGAAAGGCCAAGGCCTCTCAGGAGAACAAAGGCCTGGAGGTGGAGAGAGTTTGGCTGGAAGTGGAAGGGAGCACCCAGCTGACTAGAGAGCCAGAGGGCGACTTTCTGGGTGTGAGGTCTGTGTGATTGCACTGGGTCCCACCCTCGGAGGCCCACATTTGGCTTCATGCTTGGCCTGATTGCTGTCTTGAAATTCTTAATTTTTTTCTTAATTCTTAATTTTTCAACGAGCAGCCCTGCCTTTGCATTTTGAAGAACGTTGAGTACAGGTCAAAAGTGTTTAAATGTGAGCAGCTTTCAAACAGTGGAACGTATGACGAGGGGAGTGGCATGGTCAGAGCTGCGCTTTTGTGTCTAGCCACTGCCGTGTAGGAGAGAGTGTAGAAGAGAAAGCAGACGAGGAGCTTTTTTCGGGACTGTTAAATGGTGGAGTCAAGGTGCAGTGAGCCCTCGACTGGGACACAGCAGAGAGCATAGAGAGGAGGGACGGAGAGATGGGAATGCTTGTCGTCCTACAAAATCAGCAGGAGGATGGCTGAAAGTCCCCAAGAACCAACTGCAAACACCATCCCCAACGCCCCCTGCCAGCACTGGCTGACTCAAGCGTGAACTCTTAGGACTCCTCCTTCCACCAAATTCCTGCCTGGCAGCTGCCCACAGCCCCTTTCTCTGTCTCAGACTATCACAAGTCCTTGGAGGATGCTCTGAGCTCGGACACATCTGGCCACTTCCGGAGGATCCTCATTTCTCTGGCCACGGTGAGTGATTCGTGGGCCCCAGGCCTGCTTTCCCTGCTGGAGACCTGGGAGAAGGAGGGTGACTGAATAGAAGGAACAGGGGTGTTAGCAGCCCACCTCTGATGAAGGCTTGATGAAGACGGGGTGTCTCTCCTCTTGCCTCTCCAGGGTCCCACTGCTGACCCCTATTGTTCACCTTTCAAAGCTGGCCTGGTGCCACCGTCTCCGGGCAGTGTGACCCTCAGCTCACAGGACAAAGCCACATGGGTGGCCCCCTCCCACGTTGTTCCCTGGGAGCTTCTTTCACTGCCTTTTGAATCCTCATACGCTAAGTCTGGGGGCCCAGACTCAGTTACTGCACGCTCACTGCATGTCAGGCTTCGCGCTACGTACCTCAGGAATGCTCGTGTTTAATGACCCTGACAGCTCGCCCTATGAGGTCAGAGTTGCTGTTCCATGCTACAGGTGAGGAAGAGGGTTCGAGAAGTGCAGTGACTGAGCGAGATCTGTGGTGGCCAAGGAACAGAGATGGGTGGATCTTTGGGGACTTACCTCTTGCTGCTCCTGCTGCAGGGAAACCGTGAGGAGGGAGGAGAAGACCGGGACCAGGCCCGGGAAGATGCCCAGGTGAGACTCCCCAGCTCACTCCAGCTGACCTCTGCTGGGTGTCCCTGAGACGCCATTCCACTGTCTGTCCATGCCAGGCCCCAGCTGACTAGGAGTGAGAAAAGCTCGTGGCAGTGGCATGGCTAGTTTGATTGGCTGACACTTAGATTCGGCCCTTCCACGCTTATAAGCGAGGCTCTGAGGACTTTTGGAATGGATTTGGAAATGTGCTGATCTTTCTGGCATTTCCTATCTAAATAGTCAAATCCTCATAACTAGAAAGGACTTACAGATTATCTAGGTCAAACTCCTCATGTTATAGTGGGAAAACAGGTCCAAAGAGGCCAAGTGACTTCTGAAAGTCACACAGCCCATCAGCGGCCCAGGTGGAAATGACCTAAAGGGAGCAGCTCTGGGAGCTTGCTGGGAAGGAGACCTGTGTGCTAGAGGCCTTAGGGTTATTATTCCTGAAAGCCAAGGTTGAAGGGCATGTCCTAGAGACGCCTCGAAAGTAAGTCCTCAAGACTTTGCTCTGCTCACTGTTGTGTTCAAAGGCACTCCATCAACACTCAGTTCTATTTACCAAGTGAATGAGGGGCGGGGTTCTCTGGACTCCATTGGCTGCTCTGCATCTGCCCTGCTCCTGAGGCTGGTGAGCTTGAGTTCTGGCAATGGCTTCTTACAGAGGCTGGGCAACACCAAGAGCATTTTCTCTGAGGGTTCCCATGGCTGGATAGTCCCTGACCTCCTGCACTCTCCCTGCTGGCCTGGTCCTTGATCCCAGAACCCACTGGCATGGCCCAGGTCCAGGGCTCAATGTCCTGTGGTTGGGCACAGACACCATAGACTGCGATCCCTGTCCTTTACAGTAGGTGGGTTGGAAAGAGTGCTCATGGTTGGGTGGTTAGTGCCACTGCTTTACTGTTCCACTTTCCACCACTAGAGGCGTGGTGGTTACCACAGCAGCAGAGCTAGAAAACCCCTTGCCTGTAACCTGACAGTCACAAAATTGTCACAATGAGAAAGGATATTATACATTGAGCATGATGCTTAGACTCTTCTAGTATAGGATATCCTAGAATACAATAGTAACCTGTACTTACGCTGTCCCAACTTTATACTGGAGGAAAGTGAAGCTTTGTACCTATCCAAGGGTATCGTTTCTAGGTAGCAATGGTTTCATTTGAACGCAGGCTTGCCTGATTCCAAAGTCTACACTTAATACCTTTTAATATCCTCCAGGACTCAGTAGAGCCATTTCCCCTGCAGCTTCCCAGTCGGGCCACCACTGCCCAGACCTTGCTTTGAGATGACAGGTGTCAGAAACTGCAGGGTACTGCAGCTACATTGTGGACCTGTGTGTAGGGGCTAGCCTGGGAACCCAGCCAGACATGGGGTAGCTTGCCAAGGCCATAGTCTCTCACTCACCCCAGAAATGTTTATTCAATATTACTATGAGCATCCTCAATGTGCTGTGGAGGATTATGATCTTGTATCTTACCCCAAAATTCATTTTCCAGGAAAGCTCTGCCTGGTGCCTGGTCTGTCTATGAGGCTAGGCTTCTGTTTGCCACTGGCAGGGAGGCAATGGCGGGCAACGCTGGCTTCTGCTTTGCAGGAAGGAAGGGGAGAGAGAGAACCCGGGCGGAAACAACTCGGCCCCTTGGCCAGAGCCCTGCCTGACTCAGCTGCTTCTCTGGGTGTAGGAGGCTAGACCCTGATCTTAGCGCAAACACAGTGTCTGTTCTTCTTGATGTTTTGGTTACAGTGTATGTATTTATTTCTTCCATGAGAAAGAGAGAGACAGAAAGAGAGATAGGCACTCCCAGTAGGGTCTTCATACCCTGATCCACCCTTGTCTCAGTCAGTCCAGATCACAGGCACACGCATGTGCATCTAGCATGCTCAGGGAGGTCCTGGGTTCGGGTCCTGTGTGGGTCCAGTTATGTCACTGCTAACAATATTTTGTTTCACAAGCAATCTATAAATTGATCTTCAGTAAGAAGAGCATGCAAAAAAAAATAATAATAACCTAATAGAAATGGCCATTGTTGATGTTTTGGCATGTCTTAGTCTAATATATAAAAATGGATTCCTGATTTATAACATTAAAAATTAATATTTGGGGGACCAGCAGTTAGCATAATGGCTATGTCGCTGGACTCCCACGTAGTTGACCGTGGGTTGCGTCCCGGACCCAGTGGCTTAAATTTATGCCAGGCGCATGTGCGTGAGTGCCCAAGATCCCAAGAGGAGAATGGAGGAGAGGGGATTGCGGCGTGACCATCCCCCCTGGGGGGTGATTTTTCGCTTTCTGTCTCTATGTCTCTGTCTGTCTGGCAAGTGCATGCACCCTATAGCGAAAACCTCTCCCCCCCCAAAAAAAAATTAAAATTTTGTAAATATTGCATTTAAAAAAAGAAGAAAACAGCATTCAGTGGTGTTCTAATCCGTTCTGTTGCTAATAACAGAAAATTCCTGAGTGGATAGTTTATAAGCGCACTGAGTGGATAGTTTATAAGAGCAGAGGTCTCTTTAGCTTAGGTGGCGTGGTGGTTAAGGGCGCTGGACTCCCACATGGCCAACTGTGGTTCCAGTCTTGGACCTGGCGACTTTCTCTCTCTCTCTCCCTCTCCCTCTCCTTTTCTCTCCCTCCCTCCTCCCCTGTCTGGTCAAATTTAAAAATGAATAAATAAATAAATACAGTTAAATAAAGTAATTCTTTAAAAAAAAAAAATAAGCAAGCAAACAAGCAGAGCATGTTGGGAGCAGAGCAGAGTATGTTTCTGTCTGTCTCTGTTCTGATCTCTCTCCCTCTCGTTAGAAACCTACCAGGACTCAATTGTGGGGCCAACCCTGATGCCTAATCACTTCCCAAAGGTTCCACTTTCAACACTGTAATTGAATTAGGTCTCTTCTCTCTCACACTCTCATTTGCCAGAGGGCACATGTGCTCCTCAGAGAGAAAAAGAAAGTGAAAAAGAGTACTTTCCTGTGGGACATGGTCACACCCTTCTCTGCTTCTCCCTCCTCTCAGGATTTTGGGTACATACACACACACCCAGCATGGTTTCCAAGGCTTCTGGTTCAGGACTTGAACCCCACCATTGATCATGTGGGATCCAGACTCCTTAGTCATCAGGCTGGCCCTGGATTAAGTTTCTTCTTAATACCTTTAAAATACAACCAAATTCAAACACAAGAATTTGGGGGGACACATTCAAACCATTACAGATGGCTGTCTATTATACTATTCCATATCTGAGCTGTTACACATTAACCAGCCTCTTCCTAGTAGCCAACTCTCCTATCACGCTCAGGACTTAGCTTTTTTTTGTTTCTTTTTTCTTGGTTTTGTTTTGTTTTGTTTTGTTTTTGGGGGGGGCAAACCCCAGAGCACTGTGGTGAAGCACTGTGCTCTAGGATCCAGATCCCAGATGGCCAGCTTCAGTTCAAATCCTGGCCTAGGAGGCTTTAATACCTGCTGGGCATGTGTACCTGTGTGCCCCAATCCTGACAGGAAACAGGAATGGAGGAAAAAGGATTGCAGCCTGACCATGGCTCATGGAGGCGGGGTGGTTCTTTCTCTCTCCCTCAGTGTCTTTCTCTAGCAAGCACACATGCTCTCTGGCAATAAAATTAACTTCTAAGGGTGAAATGGGAATGCAAGAGCAAAACGCATGCAAAAATAGGTGTTTAATAGGCAGAGCCAGGATCATCCCCCCCCTTAGAAAGATAATATACTTGGCAGCTGTGGTGGTAGTCATTTCTAAAGCTGATTTATTTATTTATTTATTTACTTACTTACTTATTTTTGTGGGGAAGAGATTTTTTTGCTATAGGGCACGTGCGCTCGCCAGAAAGACAGAGTGAGACAGAGAGACAGAAAGCGAGAAATCACCCCCCAGGGGGATGGCCACGCCACAATCCCTTCTCCTCCATTCTCTTCTCGGGATCTTGGGCATGCGCACACATGCGCCTGGTGTGAGTTTAAGCCACCGGGTCCGAAACTCAAACCGCAGTTGACCACATGGGAGTCCAGCAACATAGCCATTACACTAACTGCTGGCCCTGTCTAAAGCTGATTTATTTTAAAAGACAGAGAGAGAGGGTTGAGAACCCCAACAGGGTCTTGTCATGTTGCAATCCTCTTCCCAGCCGTCCAGCCAGCCAGGATCGTGGGTGTTCCCATAGGTGTGCTGACATGTTCAGGCTGACCCAGCACCAGCCTCTGGCCCTCCCGCAGGGCTCCAGCACCATGCAAGGGCACCCTACCATCTGTGACACCACAGTTGCACCAGTGCTTGGCAGTTTTTGTGTGCTGACTTGTCACTGCTCCTTCCAGTCTCACACTCTGGCTGTCTAGAACACCCTTGAGCTCTTGGCAGTCTGGTCTGTCATCCCAGGGAGAACACATGGCCACATCCACCTGTCAGCCCTGTCCCGCCTTTCACGCTCTGTGTTCCAGTCTGAACAATGAATAAGCAATCTAATTACTAAAGCTCCACAGTGAATTGTTAGATGATCAACCACCAGATTTTAAAAATAGAATAGCTTTATTGAACTATAATTCATATACCATACTGTATGACCCATTGAAAGTGAACGACAATTCAGTAGTTTTTAATATATTCACAGACTTGTGTGACCATTGTAGTTTAATTTTATTTTACTGATTTTTTATTTTTGTTTATTTGTTTAGTTTTGCTCTAGGGCACATGCACATACCAGAGAAAGAGAGAGAGAGAGAAAGTAAGAAATCACCCTTCAGAGGTTATGGCCACACTACAGTTCCTTCTCCTTTGTTCTCCTTTTAAGATTTTGGGCAGGCACACGCACGTGCCTGGCATGTTTTTCAGGCCACTAGGTCCAAGACTCAAACTATGCAGTCAAACGCATGGGATCCAGCAGCCTTAACCTCTGCAACACCTCCTAGCCTATATTTCACTGATTACTTTTAAAAAATCATTTATACTGGGACCAGCAGATGGCATAATGGTTATATCACTGGACTCCCACATAGTCGACCACAGCTTGAATCCCAGACCCGGCAGCTTCAACTCACGCTGCGCATGGGTACATGCTGAGTCCCAGACCCGGCAGCTTCAACTCATGCCGCGCATGGGTACATGTGTGCTCAAAGAGGAGAATGGAGAAGAGATTGCGGATGTGGCCATCCCTCCTAGGGAGTGATTTTTTGCCATTTGTCTCTCTGTCTCTTCAGCAAGAACATGCACCCTATAGCAAAATTCTCTCCCTCTAAAAAAATAACAGTTTATACATGTACTCATTTATTTTTTATTTTGACGGGGCCTCACTGTGTCTCAATCCTCCTGTGCCCTCCCAGTTAGCCAGGATTATAGACACGTACTACCTGTTTAGGTTGGACCAGGAATTGAACCTGGGCCTCCTTTGTGGCTACAGACTCCAGATAGTAGCATCTTAGCAGTGTGTATCCCCATGGCTGAGCCACCACAAGTCATTTTAAAATATTACCTGCCCCCCCACACACATACACAAAGCCCTGTACACATTAGCAGTAATTTATCTCCTCCTAGCTCCCCAGCCCTGGGCGACCACAGCCCTACTTTCTGGCTCTAAGGAGTTCCTAATCCAGATATTTGATGTAAGCAGAATTATACCATAGGTGGCCTTTGTGACTGTCTTCTTTCACTTAGACACATGTCAAGTGCGCCATTCCTTTTCCTTGTCAAATGATATTCCATTATACAGATAAACTGCATTCCATTTATCCATTCGTCAACTGATGACATTTGGGTTGTGTTGTGTCCACTTTTGACCATTGTGAATAACGCAGCTATGAGCATTGCATGCACATTTTCATGTGCATATATGTCTTCATTTCTCTTGAATATAAACTTAGGAATAGAATCACTGAGTCCTAAGATAACTCTAGTTCACCTTTTGAAGAATTTCCCTGATTAATTTTTGCACAAAGTAGTTAGATTAATAAGAAAAAGTTTACGAAGTTAAGTGTTATTTTAGTGCCCACCACATTTTTTATACAACAATTATCGTCTTAAAGATGCTTGGGGGAAAAAAATATGACTGGGTTCTCTAATCTGAATAAATGAGAATATTTGGCACTCTAGTTTCTTTTTTATTTAATTTTTTAAAAAATTTCCCTCTCTTTTTAAAATTAATACTAGGGTTTCCTTAGCATAAGTTTTTTTGTTTTTTTTTTAATTTGCCACAGGGCACATGTATTCGCTAGAGAGCGGGACAGAGAGAGAGAGCGAGACAGTGAGAAAGCACCCCCATAGGAGATGGTCATGCCGCAATCCCATCTCCTCGTTTTCTCCTCTCGGGATTTAGGTCATGTACCAGTGTGTTTCTCAAGCCAAGACTTGACCTATGCAGTCAGCCATGTGGGATCCAGCAACTTAACTGCCAGCTGGTCCTCAATTTCTTTTTTATACAAATACATATATCATAAAATTTGCCGCATCAGTCATTTTTCAGTGAACAGTTCCAGGCATTAAGTACATTCGCCTTGTTGCACAACCATCACTGCCATCCACTGCCAGAACTGTTCATTTTGCGAAACGGAAACTGTACCCCTTAAACAGTAACTCCCATTCCCTCCCTCACCCCCACCCCGCCCATCACCGTTCTACTTTCTGTTTCCGTGAATCTGACCACTCTAGTTACTTCGTGTTGGTGCAATCAGACAGCAATGTTTGTCCTTTCGTGACGGGCTTAACTTAGCATAATGTCATCAAGGTCCAGCTAGGTTGTTTTTAACACAGAAAAGTATGTGTTAAACTAAGACAAAAACAAAAACAGTTCGTAATTTTAGTAGCCCAGATAGCTTCTATTCAACACTTACATTAAAAAATGAAATCATATATATGCATATTGGGGCCAGCAGGTGGTGTGGTGGTGGTGAAGGCACTGGACTCCCACATGGGCAACCACAGTTCGAGCCCCAGACCCAATGGTATGAAAGTCCCGTGGGCCACCTGTGTGTGCGTGCCCAAAATCCCTAGAGGAGAATGGAGGAAGGGATTGCAGCATGGCCATCCCCTCTGGGGGGTGATTTCTCACATTCCCTCTCTCAGTCCCTTTCCATCAAGCACACTTGCCCTGTGGCGAAAACCTTGTTGCATGTTGAAGAAATACAACGTAAACATCAACTTTTAGAGAGAATCAAAGAAAATGCAAAAGCTTTCCCCACAGTCCCCCTCCTCAGAGGTCACTGCTGTTAGTAATATTTTGACAGTTTCTTAGGACTTTCCCAGTAAGTACAAGTGAAGGAGTGTTTGTTTTCTAGATAAAAGGGCGCCATTATATACAATATGCTGTAAGTTTACATTTTTACTTAGTTGAAATGGTAACTTGTATCTGTACTGTAGGTCAGTCTTATTTTATTTAACTTTATTGATTTATTTTAAGATTTTGACCAGAGAGAGACAGAGTAAGAGAGAGAGAGGGAAAGTGAGAAAGCAAGCTGCCTTGTCGAGACTTGAACTGGACAAGGCAGCTCCCTTAACCACCATGCCACCTGCCCATTCATCTTATTCTTTTTAAAAAGCCAGGTGCAATATTACTGTTGATTGGATAAATTGTAGCCTATTTAACAGGTCTGGTTTCCAGTTTTTCTGTTATAAAGAATGCTACAGTTGGGGCAGCCGGTGGTGTAGTGGTTAAGGTGCTGGACTCCCACATGGACAACTGTAGTTGGAATTCCAGACCTGGAGGCTTGAGAAAAAAAAAAAGAACTCTTGCTACAATGAATATCTACGTTATATCACAGAAAACTTTTGCCTGTTTATCTGTAGGCAGATTCCTGTTATCTGTAGACAGTAAGAATAATTACTTGATCAAATGACATGTGCATTTAATTTTGGATAAATGTTGCCAACTTAGTCCATGAAAAGGTTTTGAAAGCATGAGGCATTTGTGAAGTTTATGGAGGATGGCTACAATCTAGCTAATAGGATAAAGTGGTCAGCAGAGTTTCAGGAGAAAAGCAAAGGCAAAGCAGTCTGAGTACAGGTAAGGGCTTAGTCGCTCTAAGTCACAGCTACTCGCCCTACAGAAGAGTCCTAACCAGAGTTTTCTGCCCGATAATGCGGTGACCAAGCTTAACCTTTGTAGAGTACTCCCACCTATGCTTGGCTGTGCGTCCCAGGTGAGCTGCCCCCCGTGGGTCCCATCTGCCTTGCCTTTCCCATCTGTAACGTGAGGGGCTAAATGCCATGTGTCCTAACCCTTCCAGCTCCAAATGTGCTCAAGCGTGCAGAGAGCTGCAACTTCCTCCCAGTTTTCTCAGTGGCTCTGCGGGGAAGCCATGGGGCTTCTTTTTCCCAGACCAGCAGGTAGACACTGGGAGTCTGCTCTGGGTTACTGGGTACAAGGGATCGAGTCCCCACAGCTGTGTAAACACATTTTTAGATATTCCCAGGCTATCCCCAGGTCGAGCTCTAGCCTGAAAGGTCAGAGAGAAGTATTCTCCCCTCGCCCCGTGTCCCTTGCACCCCCAGAGCCCCCTGCTGTGGACTTCCTCTGACTCTCGCCTTCCCTCTCTCCCCTCTCTCCCCCCCCGGCTCTCAGGTGGCTGCTGAGATCTTGGTGAGTGTCTCGTTCGTTGTGTGACTTGAATGGCCTCTGGGACGGAGCTGAGCGGGCAGAACTGGGCAGCGTCTGGGGAGCTTGCTCCGCAGCTTCTCTCTCTCCCCTTCAGAGTGCCTTAAGGGCCCTGCTGGGCAAGAAGTGGGCCAGGCGCATGTTCCCTAGACCTTAGCCACTCGTCTCGTGCAAGATTTATGCTACATACCCACCGGTTATTGATAGTTTTCTACAAATCGACTCATTTTTTTAACCTAAAATAAGGGATTTAAAAGGGAACTTGATATCAGTGTGAATAGAACTAGTGGCAGGCTAGAAGGTAACTATGGAAACGGTATGTAGTGTGTTGGAATGTTTGTTCCTTGGGGAACACGGGCTAGGCCATTTGTCCTTGTACACACGCACATAGACATTCCGCAGAGGGGCTTCCAGGGAGGTTGAAGGACAGAAGGAGAACTCCAGGCCTCCCTGTGCCCAGGATTTCTTGGCCTTCCCATAGCCCCAGTCCCCTGGCCCTGAGGCCAGGTGGACGTGTCCAGCGCTAAGCCCATCTGTGTCAGTCCACAGGGTCCTTGGGAACTGGAGAGGGGGGTGTGGAGGGATCATGCTTGAGGCTGAGGAAGGATGGGGGTGCCGATCTCAGCCCCCGTAGAGGGCCGGATCATCCCCCTCCTGCATATCTCAGCCAAGGCAAAGATAGGAAAGGGGGTAATAACCGCTTGAGGCTGAGGAAGGATGGGGGTGCCGATCTCAGCCCCCGTAGAGGGCCGGATCATCCCCCTCCTGCCTGTCTCAGCCATGCAAAGATAGGAAAGGGAGTAATAACCATGGCTTTCTCATGTCTCCCCTCCCAAATCCTTGTCCTACCTTGGGCCCGCAGGAAATAGCAGACACGCCCAGCGGAGACAAAACTTCCTTGGAGACACGTTTCATGACGATCCTGTGCACGCGTAGCTATCCGCACCTCCGGAGAGGTGAGGCCTCACTCCCTCCCCTTCCCCACTTAGCAGGAAGGTCCCCAGATCTGATGAGAGCAAACAGCTGCCCACCCACCTCCTGCTGGCCCAGCAGTAGAGTATCGTGGCTGGTGGAATGGGGAGCCCTGGGTTCTAGACCTGGCTCTACCGCTGACATGTTGCTCAGCCTCAGGCTGATTCCCTGCATCTCCGTAGGGAAGGTGGGATGCCCGGAGTAAGGGGTGGCAAGAGGATTTCACCGCGACAGCTAACTCGGATGGGTTGGTAGTAGCAGCCTAGAATGCCGTGTTGAGAGCGATTCTGAGGTTCGGTGTCATGATCTATTGGTGATTCCTGGCAGGAACAAGGCGGTGGGTGGTGGTGATGGCACAAGACCACACGTATGTCTTTTCACAGGCTGCCACACACACCGGGCACACCTGTGTGCCATGTCCACCAGACATTTCTGTTTTGCGTGCATTTGCCTGGCACTTTTAAATACTCAAGGCGTTGTTAGCGTAGCAGCTAAGTGAACGGACCAGATTGCCTTGATTCGAGTCCCCCACTTACCAGCCAGGTAACTTTGGGCAGTTTACCTAATCCTGGTGGCTAAATGCCCTGATGTGGGAATTAGGATCTTCACCTTGCCATCCATGATTACTGGGAAGATCCACAGCACATGTCAGGCACTCACCAACGTGCCTGGACTTCAGGAAGTGCCTCCTCAGTGCTTCTCACGTATAGTGGCCTCTAGCCCACCTTGACACAAGAAGAAGAAGAGCCTCAAAAGGGGGGTGGGGTTCACCCAAGGTCCCTCAGGGGTGAGTGTGACTACAACCCCCTTTCCTTTCACTCCCCAGCCGGGGTTCCTAGAATTTGTCCAAGGCTCTGGGCCCATTGGCTAGGCCCGGAGGCCTTCTGACTTGGCTCCGAGCCCACGGCAGCCTTGTGGTCAGACCCTGCCCAGTGCATTTAGATCTGGGCTGTGGCCATACCTGCTGCCCTCCCCACTTTCCCAGGCACAGCCTGGTGAAGCTTGGTGGGATTGGGGAGAGGTGACCTTTCTCCTCCCTCCTTGAAGTGACACTCCTCCCCCAACCTTGGGGTTCTCTTGGGGCCAGTCTTCCAGGAGTTCATCAAAATGACCAACTATGACGTGGAGCACACCATCAAGAAGGAGATGTCTGGGGACGTCAGGGACGCGTTTGTGGCCATTGGTAATGGCGGGACCAAGGGGAGAGACTGTGGACGCTGGGTGCTGGGCCAGGTTCCCTGGAAGAGCATGGCCTCGGCAGCTTGCCAGGTTGTTAGTACCGGAGAGTAAGCACTACCACAAGCCACCACCAGGGGTCCTGCCCGATGAGTGATTGTTGGGGAGTATCTCAAGGGCTTGTCCCAGGCTGCCAGACAGGGTGAGAAAACAGCTGTCCCTGGAGAAGGACCAGGGAGATGGGGGCAAGAGAGGGGGTCAGTATCCTGTACAACTAGGATGTGAGTACATCACACACACAACATACACACCCACACACCCACATACCCTAGACAACAGTGCACAGGTACCCACTAGCCCCATGTATGTAAGGTTCTCACACGTAACACAGACCACTACAGACATAGTACACACCCTTTCCTATTTCCACCATCCGGTCCTTTTAGTTACTATCTTATTTACTTATTTATATTTATATTTATATATATTTGCTGTAGGGCATATGCGAGTACTCACCAGAGAAAGAAAGTGAAAGATCATCTTCCAGTGGGGGTGGCCATGTGAAAATCCCTTCTCTTGCATTCTCATCTTGAGATTTGGGGCATGTACACACACGCATGGCATGTTTTCAAGCCTCTGGGTCTGGGATTCAAACTGTGCATTTAGCCATGTTAGTTCTAGTATCCTAAACACCATGTCATCTGCTTGGCCCAGTTATTCTCTTCTTTTTTTTTTTTTTAAGAAGTTTTTGCCATGGGCGCGTGTGTCCCCCAGAGAGAGAGAGAGAGAGAGAGACAGAGACAGTGAGAGAGAAAGTGAGATATCACCCCCCCCAGGGGTGATGGCTAGGCTGTAATCCTTTCTCCATTCTCCTCCTGGGATTTTGGGAATGCACACACATGCACCTGGTGTGATTTTCAAGCCACTGGGTCAAGGGCTTGAACTGCAGTCAGCCATGTGAGAGTCCAGTGATGTAACCACTACACAAGTTGCTGGCCCCCAATTATTCTCTTCTTTACCTGGGTTCTTGACTTTAAAAAAGTCCTTCCCTTTCAGATCTCCATTTGTCCAAGCATACACATGGATGAGTAGACATGAGCAAGGCTCAAACCTGTTGTTTTTATTAGTATTATTCATTAGTTGTATACTATTTCATTCTCTATAAAATGTATTGCATCAATGCATAATTTTAAAATATCGTACCAGGTGTCAATGGAAGGTTTTCACATAATTTCATCAAGTATAAAATGCATCTTGATTTCAAAGGTGCCGAAATATGTGTTGTCTCCCAGGAGCAGCAGCTGGAAGGTGGTGTCACCTAGTGGTTGGTGGCATGAAAGCTGCTAACTGTGGAATCCCTGTTCTGCCCTTTCCCAGCTGTGTGTCTGGAGCCTTGAAATCAGGCAGCTGCTAGGGGCTGGGTGGGTGCCACTGGCAGGCATTGTCTGAGTGTGCCATGGCAGCAAGGCTGGGTGGGCACTCAGCCTTGGGGATTGGCATGGTGCTTTAAATTCTACCAATGAACAGTCATTCTTTGGAGCAGCATTTCTCTAAATCAGAATTTCCCAGACATTACGCCACATCAGAGTAAAGTGGCCGACCATCCTAGTGTACGTGGGGCTTTCAGTGCTGAAACTGGGACTGTCCCACGCAATCGGGACAAGTTGGGCACCCTCCTCGAGTTTCCGATTCAGCACATCTGGGGTGGGACATGAAAATGAACCTTTATAACAAGTTCCCAAATGATGCTGTTGTTGCTCCAGGAACCCTACTGTGAGAACCACTGCTCCACATGGCTCTAGACTCTGAGTCTGGGCGGAGCCTATGTCCTGAGGTATAAGCACACTCTCAGGTGATTTCAGTGCACTTGAAAGTTTGAGGCCCTCTGCCTTGGGTTCATGAGGGGTTAATTCCCTTCGAATCCTCTGCTAATCTTGGTTAGCTGTAAGCACCTTAGCAGGAAGTGAGAGGCAACCCAATGAGAGCAGGCTTAGGGAGGAGCTATAGGAGGAGGCCCTGGGAAGGCAGGGAGGCTCCCCCCCACCCCCGAACAAGAGCCTGGGGTTGGGGTTGGCAGTGATCTGCAGGGGAGGAGAGACGGGGGCCCAGGGTCTGGATACACAGCCTCTCACTGAGTGCCTGCATCATTCTCTTCCTCCCTCCAGTTCAAAGTGTCAAGAACAAGCCTCTCTTCTTCGCCGACAAACTGTACAAATCCATGAAGGTAAGCAGCCTTGTTTCTTTGTTTCCACCCTTCCAGCACTGACTTTGTATGTGCGTGCACATGCACGCGTGTATACACACACACACACACACAAACACACACACACAGCTGCACTGTCCCAGATTTCTGGCAGCTGCCTTCTCTCATTGGATAGTTATCAGCATCAGCTCTCATCTGGCTCTAGGACAACTGAGGGGACATTTCACAGTGTTCAGACACATTTTTGGCTGTCATGTTTAGGGTGTTCCTGCTGGCATCTAGAGATGCTGTTAGACACCCTCCAGGTCCCTCTGGCCACCCTCTCATCCCAGACACAGGCTCATCTGCTGACAGGGCCTAGGCAGGCTGTTGAGGGGTGGAGGGGTGGCAGCAGCCTGAGATGCTAGCAGCCGGGAGTCCCCAATCATGATGGCTATTTATTGGGCGCTCACCCTGTACCAAGCCCTGGCCAAGAGGGCGACTCCCCTGACCTCAGCTGACCCCCTGGTATCGTGTGAGGTCACGGTAGTAATGTCATAGTAATAGAGGAGGAAACAGACCTGGGTAGGTGAAAACCTTGCCCACGTTTACATGGCTCCCGTGTGGCCGGACTGGGACCTAGAACCTAGCTCTGACTCCTAAGCTGGCGTTCCTACCTCTTGGGGGCAGGGGAAGGCTCTCTGCTCACACACCCCATGCCCTGTGCCTGCTCCCTGGGCCCTGTATTAATTTCCCAGGGCTGCTGTTACAAATTTCCGACAAACTGGGTGACAGAAACTTATTCTCTCACTTCTGGAAGCCAGAAGTCCAACGTCAAGGTGTCAGAGGGCTTGGTTCCTTCTGGAGACTCTGAGGGAGAAAGTGTCCCAGGCCTCTCCGCTAGCTTCTGGTGGCTGCTGCAAACCCTCGGTGTTTCTCGGCCAGTGGATGCATTTCCAGTCTCTGCCTTCATTCAGCATGGCCTTCTCTGTCTGTAGGTCTGTGTCTCCACTCCACTTCTATAAAGACACTAATTCAGTATGGCGTCACCTTAACTAATTACACGTGCCCAGGCCCCATTTCCAAATTAGGTCACACCGAAGTTCCAGGTAGAGCACTTAGGGAGAACACTGTTCAGCACTGTTCAGTAGGCCTTCATTATCTTAACCGGCCAGTCCCAGGCCCAGGGCAGTTGTGGTCAAGACTGTTTGTGGAAGACAGGCAAAATATCCCACTCTGGTTTTGCCCAGTTCATCTCTCTTCTTGCTCTGCATTGTCCTCTTGCTTGTCCCCACCAGGGTGCTGGCACTGACGAGAAGACCCTCACTAGGATCATGATCTCCCGGAGCGAGATCGACCTGCTCAACATCCGGCGGGAATTCATCGAGAAATACGACAAGTCTCTCCACCAAACCATTGAGGTAAGGGGAGGGCCTAGACATCAGTGAGGAAGAAGAGTGGGTGTCAGATCCTTAACTATGATGGTTAGGCGCTAGACTCTCATATGGTCTATTGCAGTTCGAGTCCTGGACCCTGTGGCTTGAAACTCATGCTAGACGTACATGTGTGTATACCCAAAATTCCAAGGAAGAATGGAGAAAGGATTGTGGTGTGGTCATTCCCTCTGGGGTGGGGGGGGTGATTTCTCACTTTCCCTCTCACTGTCTCTGTCTTTTTAGCAAGCTCATATGCCCTATGACAAAAACCTTTAAAAAAAAGAGATAAAAGGCCTTTTTATTTCCCTGTTCTGTTCTGTTCTGTTCTCAGTGGATTAGAACAGCCAGGATATTTCTAGATGAAAGGCAAATACCTCATTGTTTATACCAAAATAAATTTCAGAAGAATCAAAGGTTTATAATTAAAGATTGGCAAATAAAACAAGAGCCCCCCCCTTTTTGTTGCTTTTTAAGAACAACTGTATTGAAGTATAATGAATAGATCATAAAGTCCAGCTGTTTTAGTAAATTTACTGAGTTGCACACCCATCACTCCCATCTGGTTTCCAAACTTTCCCGTCATCCCACTAAGATCTTACAGACCTGTTGACCTATTTCCACCCCTACCCACGGGCAACCATCAAGCTATTTCCATCTCTATAGACCTGCTCTTCAGGTATTCTGTCTAAAAGGAATCGTGTACTATGTGACTTTTGCACCTGACTTCTTTGACTTATGGAGCCCATTTTTTGGTCTTTGAGATTGGCTAAGAGCTTAGAGCTTAATGTCATTTATGCTTGATTGACAAGATCATGACCATTTCACAGGCAATCTTCCATAGACTTGGGCATGTAAATTGATAGCACATCTCTCAAGACTAATTTGGCAGTTTCAGAATTTTAAATGTGTACATTTCTTTACTTTGTCACTCTACTTGTAGGAATTTATCCTACAGACATAGCCATACCTGTTAACCAAAGACAGGTCAAAGAATATTTATGCCAACATTTTTTATAATAGCAAAAGATTGGGAACCCTCCATACAGAATCAATTAAATAAATTATGGTATATCCATGTGTGGAATACAATACAGCCATGAAAAAGCATGAGGAGTCCCCACTTAATTCTTTTAAATAAAAATAAACTCTATGTTAGAGTAAAGATAAATAAATAAAGAAAATAATTCTTTAAGAAAAACCTATTTAAATTTAAAAAATAAATAAAGGCATGAGGAGTCTCTATGTACTGATGTAGAATCTTCTCTAAGGCACAACTGTAAGGACAGAACCTAGAACAGGACATGTGATCATTTGTGTGGTAAAGAGCTGTATATATACATGTATTTGCATATGCACAGTTGCTGGAAAATCACATAAAAAGGAGTAACCATGGTTGCCTCTTCATTTAGGAAACTAGTGATCAAGGATGGGAGGGAAACTTTTATTGTAAAATCTTTCCTTTAATTTGGATTGTTTACAATGATAATACAGCAAAGGACAAAAACAAAAAGCTACCTAAAAAGTCATAAGATACTGTAAGATAGGAGTCCCTCCAAAAGACCTGTCCCATGTGGGAGAAAGTCCGTGTGCTCTGTCACACACACGATGCTGTCCCTAACACTCCAGCAGCGGCCTGGCAGTCAGTGCTCAGTATCGTTTGTTCAACTAACGCCTCACGTGATGCAATGGGCTGGGGTGAGGTGGGGTAGAAATGAGCAGAGAGTGCCAGGGGACCCAAGGGAGCTAGAATCTGCTCTGCTTTCCGAGCCAGAATGCTTCTTAGAGGAGGTGTACCCATACGAGGATTTGGGGGAGGGGAACGGTAGAAAGGAGGGAAGAGGACCAAGATGCTCCCAGCAGAAAGGGAGAAGTGAAGCTCCCGAGCTCTCCAGGGGTCAGATCACAAAGAGCCTTGAAGCCAGGCTGAGAGCTTGCACTTCTTCAAGGGCGACGGGAGCCACAGAAGGGACAGAATCGGGGAGGTCCCTCCGACCTTCTCCTAACAGCGATGTTGGTGATGAGAGAAGCCAAGGGAGACGTCGAGGCCGACCGGCAGCTGGGAGGAGGGGCATTGGGGCCAAAAGGATTGTTTTCACTCACTCTGCTCTCCCTCTGCCCCTGCCAGGGTGACACCTCTGGAGACTTCCTGAAGGCCTTGTTGGCTCTCTGTGGCGGCGATGACTAGGGCCACCAACATGGGAGGCACTTCTGCCAAGAATTGGTCAGCAGCACCAGCCACCATGACCAGGCCCGATTGTTCCAGCTCCAGAGACTAAGGAAGAGGCAGGGTGGGGGGAGGGCTTAGGGGTGGGCTCTTGTCTTCAAATGGGGCTCAGGAAAGGCCCCCACTCCCACGGGCCATTGAGGGCCCAGCACGGTCACTCCTGCTCACGGCTGAGCGGCTGAAGAACCATGGCCATAAATCCCGTCCACGTCCACACTCACTCCCACTCCCCGCTGTCTCAGGCCTTCCCAGCTTCCGTCCCTTGCCACAGCCTCTGCCCTGGTTTGGGCTTTGTCAAACCCAAAAACATACCGAGCCTCTAGAAAATGAGCATTGTGTGTGCTTTGAATGGTGGCGCGTGGGCATGGTGTCGGCTGTCCGTTAATGGGGAGCAGGGGAGAATAAACGCGATTGGGCAAACTGACCATCTACGCATCTCCATCTCCTATGCTGGAGGTTTGGAGGCAGGAAGCCTGGGTTTAGATTTCTATCTTCCACATCCTTGCTTTCTGACCTTCGGCCCATCCCTTTCCCTCTTCAAGTCTCTATTTTCTTATCTGCAAAATAAGAAGGTTGCATGAAAAAAATCTTGACTTCCCTTCTAACATCGACATCCAGTGCCTCCAGTTCATTCCCTGGACTCTTTTTCTCTCTTTAAAAAAGAAATAAAAAAGAGATGCATACATGTATTTCCACTGAAGCCCCGATTCCTACTTAGAACCTGCAGCCTGGATTTTTCTCACTGACTTGAGATTGTTGAATAGACCCAAGAGTGAGTTATGTCTTTGGATTCTTCCGGGGTGTGTCCTGGGAATCTGTAGGCGAGTCTGCACGTGCATCAAGCCCAGGAAGGCTGCCCAGCCCTGGTGTGGGTCTCAGGGCCCCTCTCCGCACTGCCTGACCCATTCTGTGTGCTCTTCATCCATCACAGCCAAACCCAAGCTTCCTCTTTTGAACTCCTCAAGGGCACCAGATGCGATGCCATCATGATCTGGGAAGGCCCATTCAAAGTTTCCACTTCATGAAGGTCACTGATAAGAAGCAGATTCAACTGCAGCGTCTCTGTCTTCCCTCCCCCAGCCCTGCTTCTGCTCCGTGACTTGGAGCTAAGCTTGTCTGGTGACCACAGCATACTGTGCCTGCTGGCAAGCGGGCTAGGCAGGCAGGTTACTGCAGGTCAGTGTGTGTTGATTGTAGCAGCTGAAAGACTGGCTGGGTCTGGTCCTGCCCTCCCTTGCTGTGTGCCCTCACTGGGGCCTCGGTTTCTCCATTTGTACTACAGCAAGGGTTGGATTCAGCAGTTGTTTTTGTTTTTGTTTATTTTGTTTTTGTTTTCCATGCACAAGGTACTGGGCTTCATTTAACCCTGGGTCCATGAAAACAAGCTGGCGCGGGGATCCAGGTGGGATGGAGCTAGCGGCCCGCAGTGCGCCAGGATCCACACTGCCCTGGAGTTGGGGATCTGGGGTCACTTACATTGGCCAAGCCCTGGTGGAACGAGGGCTCTGGAGCCAGCGCTCCCTAAGGAGTCCTGGGCTGGGAGGTGGCTCAGGGCCAGTTCCCATGTGCACACCCTCTTCCTCTTCTGTCTAAGCTTGTCCCATAGGCTCTCCAGAGCTACTTGTCCCATGAAGAATGTTATGGCAATGGGAACCAGCAGTTAGCGTAATGGCTATGTCGCTGGACTCCCACGTAGTCGACTGCGGTTCGCGTCCCGGACCCGGTGGCTTAAAACTCACGCTGGGAGCGTGTGCGTGCGTGCCCAAGATCCCGAGAGGAGAATGGAGGAGAAGGGATTGCGGAGTGACCATCCCCCCTGGGTGATGATTTCTCGCTTTCTGTCTCTGTCTCTCTCTGGCGAGCGCACGCGCCCTATAGTGAAAATCTCTCCAAAAAAAAAAAAAAATGGTTATTGCAAAATTGTCCTTGTACCAGTCTCTGTTAGAATACACGTGCTTCTGAAAATTTTTACTTAAGACTTCCTTGTAAAAGTTGACCATTTCTTCTGTATTCAGTGTCGCTCTCTGACCTGATTGGCTTCTCAGCCCCAGGCCTTTAGCTTTCAGCCTCCGGTGAACAAATTCTTCCTTTTCCTTACTAAAAGACTCTGGTTTGCCCAGAACTGTCGATTCCACCCTTGTGTTTCTTGTCTTAATTCTCCTAAGTTTTTGTTGCAGTGCTGATTCATTTTCAGGGATATAAAAATGGACAGGTCGAAGGTTTGAATATCTGGAGGTCCTATCCCATCATGGCAAGATTTTCTAGAAGGGCGGAATTGTGAGACCCAGCCCGGCCACACATCACCTCGCTCGTCACTCAGCACAGTGCTCCGGAGCAAGCTGCCGGCTGCAGCCCACGAAGGGCGGGCAGAGGCAGAGAGTAGGGAGAAGGGGCCCCCCCGCCGGCCTCAAGGCCGCCATGGCTTTTGGCCCACTCCATGGATTCAGTTTTAATGAGTCAGAAACTAAGAAAATTTACCTTGTCATATCTTTTCTTCGTTTCCTCCACCAGACTGTGAGCCTAATGCCTCCAGGGTCACCTGAGAGATTTTGGGGGTATTTTCCCCACTTCATTTAACTGTTAGAAAGAAAGTTAACAGATGAAATAGTTAAGAGCTCTGAAGTAAGACCTTTGTCACTAGCTTACTACAAACACATAATGTCTTGGAGTGCCAGTTTCTTTATCTGTAAAACAGGGCTCCTGGGGTCAGCATGTAGCAAGGTGCTTAAGGAGCTGGATTCACATATGACTGACGGTGGTTCAAGTCCCAAGACGGCAGTGTGACTATCATGCCAGGCCCATGTGCATGCATGCCCAAAATCCTGGGAGGAGAATGGAGAAGGAATTGCAGCGTAGCCATCCTCCCTGGGGAGTGATTTCTAACTTTCCTTCTCTGTCTTTTTCTTACTTTGTTTCTCTGTCTTTCTCTGGCACCCTATGACAAAACTCTTAAGTGGAAAAATCCTTAAAAAAAAAAAAAGTGCTTCTAATTCTATTTACGGTATAGCCTTGTGGGATTGAATGAGATGATGCGTGAATGCTGAGCACCGTGCCCGCCCGGCTTGGAGTCAGCTGTCATCGTTACTCCCAAACCAGGGTTAATCGTGGGTACTGAGAGGTGGATCCCACCGTGTTTTCTGAGCTTTGATTTCAAGAAGTCAGACAGCTCGGGAACCAGCAGTTAGTGTAATAGCTATGTCGCTGGACTCCCACGTAGTCGACTGCGGTTCGCGTCCCGGACCCGGTGGCTTAAACCTCACGCCAGGTGCGTGTGTGTGCGTGCCCAAGATCCCGAGAGGAGAATAGAGGAGAAGGGGTTGCAGCGTGACCAACCCCCCTGGGGGGTGATTTCTCGCTTTCTGTCTCTATATCTCTGTCTGTCTGGTGAGCGCACGTGCCCTATAGCGAAAATCTCTCCAAAAAATAAAAAAAGAAAGTCTATGTTTGTTGTAGAGGTAAGTGAGGAGGAGGCTAACAGAAAGGAAATAGCACGATAAAAGTCACGTCCTTCTAATATGCATTCAACAGATATAGTAAAAACCCCTCAAAAAAAAAAAAAAAAAAAAAGTCAGACAGCTGTAGATCACAGAGGCACCGAAGCCAAAAGGGAAAGTGCCCTTAAATTTGTGAAGAGGGAGAATGGGCGGGAGGTAGAATGGAAAGAGCCCTGGGATCCGTAGGAATACAAGTGAAAGGCTCTGTGAGGCTAGTGAGACGCAGAAGAGGAAGCCTAGCCACCCAAGAATGAGAAGAGCTAAAACAGCGCGCTTACACACACGGGATGTTGTTCCAGGGCCTCGACATGCATTTTCCATTTCGTTTTAACTGCGGTGGTTGCGTTCTGGAATTGGTCTGTAGTACAAGGGAAACACTGAGGGTTTGTAAGGTGAAGAAGCTGAGATAAGAAATGAGAGTTTGGGAGTTGGCAGGTGTTATGGTGGTTAACGTGCTGGAATCCCACATGACCAACTATGGTTCAAGTCCCAGATCTGGAGTCTTGCTTTCTCACTTTCCCTCTCTCTGTCTCTTGTCTGTCTCTTTCTGGTCAAGTTTAAATGAATTAATTAATTAAATAAATAATTTTTTAAAAAGAAATGAGCGTTTACATCCAATTATAGGACATTGAATGTCAGCATCTTCTTTATAGCCCAATAGAATCCTTCAGAGGTTTTTTGGGAGGGGAGGACAGGTCGCATCTGGCTGTGTATTTAAGAAAAACATGAAGGGGGACCAGCAGTTGGCGTAATGGCTATGTCACTGAACTCCCACATAGTCAACCACGGTTTGAGTCCCAGACCCAGTGGCTTAAACTTGTGTGCGTGCGTGCCCAAGATCCCAAGAGGAGAATGGAGTAGGAATGCAACATGGCCATTCCCCCTGGGAGGTGATCTCTCGCTTTCTGTCTCTGTTCTCTCTGTCTGGTGAGCACATGCGCCCTATAGCAAAACCTCTCCAAAAAGAAAGAAAAAGAAAAACATGAAGGAAGCATAGCTGGTTGGGAGGATACTATAACAATCCCAGCAGGACTCAGATACCTGAGGAAGGAGTAGCCACCATCTGAATCCTAGCACTCCGTCTACTCTTCATTCACTTGTGGAGCTTAGACTTGGCAAATGTCTCCTCTGTGCCACGCCCTGTTCTCAGTGCCAGAGATGAACCACCATGGCTTTAGTCCTTACAGAGCTTCTACAGATTGTCCCTCCTGCCAGCTTTCCAAACGACACTGCATGTTGCTTCTATGGCCAGCGTACTATGGGGAAAGGTAGAGGGGACTAAATTAAAACTAAAAGGAAAGAGAAAGCAGAAGCCCAAACCACTGCTGTCTCAAAATGGGAGAAAGGGGGGAGATGGCTGTGATGTTCTGAGTGTGGAAGGGGCCCTCAGAAAGTCTCACCTCTCTCTCTCAGTTACAGAAGAGACAACTGTCACTTCCATAGAGGAAACGACTGGCCCAAAGTCATGAAGCAAGTTAGCCAGACAGAGCTGGAGCTCTGCAGTCCTGGGCCTGGCCCAGGACTTTAATAAGCTCCCTCCCCTGTCTCCTACCTTTGTGTCATCGTCAGGGGTGGGCTTGAGGGCTAGAGCCACCCTGTCTCTAGCTCCTTTCTGCCCTTGAGCCATGCATTTTCCCTTTGGGGCAACCCCTTTCTAGAAGCTCTGGACTGGGATGAGCTAGCCTTGGTCTTTGAGACCCCAAGGACATATCGGATGGAAGTGGCCAGTTGGGAGGGGTTGCCCTTTTAACTGAAGCAGAGAGCAGCTACTTGGGAATTGTCATTCTCACACTTCCTGCCAATAGACAGCAGGACCTGTCAGCTATTTCAAGAACCTGGTATTTACTGTGTCCCAGCTTGGCTGAGAGCAGAGAGCTGCTGCCAGAGTGATCCCACTCAAAAAGCCTTACCTCAGGGCTAGCAGGTGGCAT